AATAACAAAGAAACTTTCAACTCCTATCTCTAAGGCCACAAAACCTCAGCCTATAAACACCAGCAGTGTAACAGCAAAAAGTCACAGAGCCTCAAATATGATGACTACGACTAAATTTGTGAGGGCTACATCTCAGAATGGACAACTTTTACGTCCTCCTATTAGAAGTCACCACAGTAATACTCATAATACCCAGGACTCCCTGAAACAAGGCATTGCCAATGTTACAGTTCGGAAAGGGTCTCATGAGAAAGAATTACTACAATTAAATACAGTTTTATCTAGTGTCAAAACCATTTCTTCTCAGGAAGTAAAAAGAAATAAGACAGTATCAAGAAGCATCACATCTGAAATGATAGCCAGGCCTGCTTCATCTTCTAATATCAAACAGATAGAAAAGTCAAAAACCATTGACCAGTGCAGGCATACTATAGCAAAAGCAACTATCAACAATAGAAGGGCTCAGCCCAAAGAAACCGTAGAAGAAAGAAAGTAAGTAGATGTAATTCATTAGCTGAATTTTCAAATTTGTGATTTGGTTTATAATTTAATGTATTAGAATTTTTTGTGTGTGTATTCTCTACTGTCATGTGTAGACAAATTTAAGCAAATTTATATTGTGGAACAGTATGACCTGAGTTATTGTGTTTGAATGTGTTTTATTAGGTTGTTTTATGTAGCATAAGTTAAAATTCTTAATGGAATTGGGAAGTATTTCATAACATCCATTTAAAAATTCATTCTTATGTCTTTGAGCATATAATTCACTTTGATATTTTTTAATATATTTTATTGATTTTTTACAGAGAGGAAGGGAGAGGAATAGAGAGTTAGAAACATCGATGAGAGAGAAACATCGATCAGCTACCTCCTGCATACCCCCCCACTGGGGATGTGCCCACAACCAAGGTACATGTCCTTGACCGGAATCGAACCTGGGACCCTTCCGTCCCCAGACCGACGCTTTATCCACTGAGCCAAACCGGTCAGGGCTCACTTTGATATTTTTAAATTTTTTTTCTTCATATTTGTGAACCATTTTTTGCCACTAGCGTGGAACTATTAAAGGTTTGAAATATTTTTTAACTTTTCCTCTATTTGACAATGCTATCAGTAATATCACAGTAATGTACTGCTTATAATTATAGAGCTCGTTTGAGTGAGTGGAGAGCTAGCAAAGGAAAAATATTGAAAAGGCCTCCTAGCTCAGTAATAACCCAGCCTGAACCTGAAGGACAGAATGAAAAACCAGTTGGGTCATTTTGGACTACCATGGCAGAAGAAGATGAACAAAGATTATTTACTGAAAAAGTAAACAAGACATTTTCTGAATGCCTAAACCTGATTAATGAGGTAATGTCTTTATCTTATATTTGTGTAGTAGTTTATATTTTGCAAATTACCTTCATAAGTATTATCCCATTAATTATAGTCAGTCTTGTTTGACCAAGTAATGTGTCACTGATGTTATGTAGACTTACTGTTAATTATGAGATTATTTTCTTTGGCCTTTAATGGACTTCGTTTTCACCCTAGCCAGTTTGGCTCAGTGGATACAGCATTGGCCTGCGGACTGACAGGTCCTGGGTTCAATTCCAGTCAAGGCTACATGCCCAGGTTGCAGGCTCGATCCCCAGTAGGGGGCATGCAAGAAGCAGCCGATCAGTGATCCTGTCATCATTGATGTTTCAATCTCCCTCTTCTCCCTCTCTGAAATCAATAAAAAATATATATATTAAATTAAATTAAATGGACTACATTTTCATTGAGTTCATAGAAATATATCAAAGGAATAGATTTTTTTTTACTTGAGTAACAAATATTGTATTCCTCTATGATGTTAATAATTTACCAAGTCTAGCAATACAAATTAGTCCTTATTACCACAGGTTAAATTCAAATTGACTAAAATATTTTCAAATACTTTGATTCATCTCACCCAACATCATTATGATCTTGAACTTACTGTATTTTTTTGTTGGACCAAAATTTGACGGACTATAATAATTAACTCCAGAATGTTTTCTTTATTTCCTAACTACTCTTTAATCTTGCTTTGGTCATACACTACTGTCTAAGTTCCAGAGCAAGACTGAATATACAGAGTATGATTTCAAACTTCAGTCTTCATGAGCATCATTAAACATTTTGTAGTTTTGAAGACCAATGAAAATTACAATTAGGGAAACTGATTCAATTCTTATTTCTGCTTAGCTGGAGTTTTTTATTGATACTATGGAATTTTTCTCCCCTGCTACTCAACTATATATAACTTACATAAACCATTACAGATTCATTTTAACCTTAATATCAGTACCTGACAAATATAATTTTAAAACCTGCGAGCTATTTTCACTCAGAAACACTTGGTAGATACAAAAATATATAAATATTAACAACTGGAATCTACAATAAATACGATAAGAGGATAAATATCAAGACCAAGTAGAGTGTTATTCGTTTTTTTATGAATGTTTTTCTCAACTAGTGTATTATTGTTCTTTTGCCTTGTACTTATGACCAATATGCCTCATACTAGCCATTCAGAATAAATTTGGAGTGAGGAGGATAATAGTGGATAGTTTTATGAACAATTTTCCATCAACTTTTTCTATCACTGATTTTGATTATAGTGAGCTTAATTGCTTATACTTTCTATGCTAAAAGATAACATTCACTTTATTTCTTGACATTTTAGGGATGCCCCAAAGAAGAAGTATTAAACACACTGAATGACCTGATTAAAAATATTCCAGATGCCAAAAAACTTGTTAAGTATTGGATATGCCTTGCACGTGTCGAACCACTCACAAGTTCTATTGAAAATATTATCTCAATCTTTGAGCAGGCCATTCTGGCAGGAGCTCAGGTGAAATTAAAATTTATTAATTACAGTGCATGTAAATTATTCAGAATTATTTGAGATATATCATAACTTAATAAAATTGTGGTTTTATATATATATATGTAATGAATGATTAAAAGCCACAAGAATTGCATTTTTTAAAAAATCTTTATTGTTCAGATTATTACAGTTGTTCCTCTTTTCTCCCCCATAGCTCCCCTCCACCCGGTTCCCACCCCACCCCCTGCCCTTACCCCTCTCACTGTCCTCATCCATAGGTGTATGATTTTTATCTAGTCTCTTCCTGCACCCCCCACACCCCCTTCCCCCTGAGAAGTGTCAGTCCACTCCCTTTCTATGCCCCTGATTCTATTATATTCACCAGTTTATTCTGTTCGTCAGATTTTTTATTCACTTGATTTTTAGATTCACTTGTTGATAGATATGTATTTGTTGTTCATAATTTTTATCTTTACCTTTTTCTTCTTCCTCTTCTTAAAGGATACCTTTCAGCATTTCATATAATAGTGGTTTGGTGGTGATGAACTCCTTTA